GGCTCAGGAGGGAAGGAGAGGCAGGTGAGGCTGCAGAGAATGGGCTCAGGAATCAGGCAGTGAGACTAATGTGGAAGAATCAGACGCTGCAAAGAAGTAACTTTTCCACTGAACAATTGAAGAGAAATGGTTGCATCAGAGGGCCAGCCCAGGCTTGTTGTCTGTCCCCCCACAGCCTCCCTGTGAGGAGTGCCTGTAGCCTTTCTAAGTCGGAGGTCTTCACAGGAGCAAACTTGCATCCACAAAAGGGCTCGTGGGTTCCTCCTGCCAGACGTCTAGTTTATGCCACTGAGTCAGAGCCCACCCATAGCTGGCCTTCCAGCAGGTTTTCTGGGCTCGTAATCACATGGAGGAGATTGCCCATCCTTCTGCTACAGGGCTGCTGGTACATTCGAACCAGGAACCTGCAGGCTGCTGGTGCAGCTCCTTACTACTAAGCCACCAGAGCTCTCTGATGTTTTCGTTAGCAGACATATTCTAGGACCACTCCATCCGCAGGGCTTGAAAACATGGCTGAGACTCCTGACCTCAGGCCTGCCCTCGAGATGCCTTTAGCCTCTGCCGAGGAAGGGCCAGCTGCCTGCAGATGTCCAGTGCGAGGGTCCGCTCAGCCTCACTCTTCTCTGGAGACGAGAAGTAACGCACTGAACCCCACACTAATCCAGCCCTTCCCTGGGCATCCTGCCTGGTTTTTATTTGCATATCTAGAATCATCTGAATATTGTTTCAGTGACTCTTACCTTCATTGTGAAGCATTTTATTGATATTACATGCTTTTCAGTATTAAAACTTTGAAATTCAGGAAACAAGAACGTGCTTCGTAGGATCAGGCGCTCTGTTGGGTGGAGGGGACAGGGCAGTTGTGACATCTCTCTGTCCATGGCACTCAATAGCACACTGGGATTGTCACATCCTCGCTGCCGGTGTCCCTCCCTGTCCGCACGAGGACAAAGCAGCAGCTTTGTGACTGACCAGGGAGGAAAGGAAGCCACCTTGGTGATCTTTGGAGAATGGCTTCAGCAAACTCCAGGCTGGCCACGGCTCACCGGGCACCAGGAACCCTGTCTTCTGTCCCGAGTCTGTCTGTGGGCGCTGACCACACAGTGTGTGTTGGGACCACTATCTTCTGTCCTGAGTCTGTCTGTCTGCGCTGACCACACACTGTGTGTTGGGACCACTATCTTCTATCCCGGGTCTGTCTGCCCTGACCACACAGTGTGTGTTGGGACCACCATCTTCTGTCCTGAGTCTGTCTGTCTGCGCTGACCACACAGTGTGTGTTGGGAC